GGGTTTTGTGTTTAGGGCTCCGGGTTTGCGGTCCTTCCTTGGGATGTTCCCCCTTAGGATTATGGTACCCCCTATTATCATCCCTACTAAGGACTCTTAGTGTATGGGGGCAACATCCCAAGTCCTCCCTGTCCCGCGGCAAGGTGGTTTCACCCACAGCCAACAGCGCCGCGCGCAGCTTCGAGATGGTGCGGGAAGGGAAGCCAGGGTCTAGGGTTTAGGGTTTAGGGTTTAGGGTTTAGGGTTTAGGGTTTAGGGTTTAGGGTTTAGGGTTTAGGGTTTAGGGTTGGGATGTTCCCCCTTATGCTAACAGTCCTTCATAGGGATTCTAGTAGGGGGTAGGCATTCAACATGCCAAGTTTCAGGGCTCAGGGTTACTACTTGGAGGTTCAGGGTTCGTGCCTAGTAACCCAATTTGAAGTGTTATTATAAGCCCCTGGGGTACCCCCAATAGGGTTCTAATTGGGTTAATAAGTACAGTCGTAACTGGGTTACTAAGTACCCTGAACCTCCAAGTAGGGTTTTGGAGATCGAGATGGTGCGGGAAGGGCAGCTTGAGGTCGGGGGTTTCAGTCCTAGGTAGGATAAGGGGGACCCTTAAAAGGGAACCCCCTTCTAAACCCTCTTCTGGCTCTCTTAAACAGGGACCTTATTCAGAGGGTCTATATCCCCAAGGGTCCCCCTAATATCCTATCCCCTATTCAGGGGCTTCAGGGGTTTTAGAGAGTAGGGTTAATTAGAGCTCGGAGTTCAACAAGGTCCACATGGCACAGGGTTTAGGGTTTAGGGTTTAGGGTTTAGGGTTTAGGGTTTACTCTAAACCCTAAACCGGGTCTTTGTGATTGTTGTCGGTGGAGTGATGGGCGTCGGGGCTTCTTGGTTTCAGGATCTTAACCCTTTAGGCCCCAAACCCCCAAAAACCCTAAACCGGGTTTTACAGCTGTTTTATGGTTGCTCCCCGACGAGTTGAGGGCTCGCGCGACGTTCCGACGATGTGTCAGTGATACAACAGGTGGGAGCGCCTTTGTGTCAGGCATTGTTTGGTGGTTGGCGAGCACACAGGCGTGCTGGGCGCTGTCTTGTCCAGCAGGCGGCGGTTCTGCTGGAGACTCACGATCTCAGGAGTGGAAAAAAATGCAGCAACTTGCTGGCTCTGGCAAGCCCTTCCCTGAGTGCGCACACATGGGATCTTGCAGGAGCTGCACCCTAAGAATCCTAAGTACCTATATGGGGGTCACTTACCCAAACCATAATAGTAATTCCTATGATAGAAACCCTACTTTCTACTATGCAGGTACTTAGGACCCTTTGGGGCAGCAAAAGGTGGCGTGAAAGGGTCTTCTTCGGATTTCAGTCTTGACGAAAGCCTAAACCCCAGACTTTAAACCCGAAGCCTTAAATTCCAACGTCCTATTTATGTAGAAACCCTAAACCCTAAACCCTAAACCCTAAACCCTAAACCCTAAACCCTAAACCCTAAACCCTAAACCCCTGAAGCCCCAGTCAGAACGAGGCATGAAACTCCGAGTTGCAGTGCCAAGAGCCCGACCCTCCAGGCGATGTGCCGCGCTTTCTGGACGCCCGCAGGTGGAAGAGGTTCCTATAGGGTTTATAAGGCTTTTGGGTCTTTTAGGGATTTTAGGGCTTTTCGGGCTTTTAGGGGTTTCGGGCTTCTAGGGTTTTTAGGGTGTTTAGGGTGTTTTTTTTGTTGTTTTTTTGTTTTTTTGGGTAAGTTTTGTTTTTAGGATTTTGGGGTTTTCATGGTTTTAGGGTTTGAGGTTTATTTTGGGGTTTTTAGGGTTTTTGGGGTGTAGGGTTTTTCGGGGTTTTAGGGTTCTGGATTTAGAGTTTAGGGGTTCAGGGTTTCTCGGGTTTGGGGCTTAGGTAGGGCTTTACGCTGTGTTTAGGGGTTCAGGATCGTAGCGTTTATAGGGGTTCAAGATTTTGGCTTAGGGGCTCGGGGATCTAGATTCTAGACGTTAAGATTTAGGCGTTAGAGGTCGCGGGTAGGGGTTTCGAGGTTGGGGTTCATGGGTTCCTAAAGCCTAAAGCCTAAACCCTAAATCCTAAACCTAAACCTAAACCCTACAAGGACTCAAACCTGTAAGCCAAACCCTTATTGCATTAATCTGAGACTTCCATCGAGCATATCGTGTATGCCGTGAAGCTATAAACCCTAAACCCGAAACCCGAAACCCGAAACCCTGCTAACAGTCCTGAATGGGGATTATAATTAAGGGGTACTACTGTTTAGTCCCTACGAAGGACTGTCAGTCTAAGGGGGAACATCCCAAAACCCTAAACCCTCAACCCTCAAACCCCCCAAAAGCCTCTGCCTGGAAGCCCTTTTGACTTCGTAAGAAGGGTTAGTAGGGTGGGCTATTCGGAATTATAATGGGGTTTCTAGCCCTAAACCCTAAACCCTAAACCCTAAACCCTAAACCCTAAACCAAGTCTCAACCCTGTAGAAACCCTAAACCCCTAAACCATCCCTCAGTGACGAAAGCTCTTAAATCATGGGTTCCCCTACTACCCCCCCCCCCCCCCCTTTATACTACCCACCCCCCTTGCCTAGGTTCCCCTTTAAATAACCTCAACTTAGGCTTAAGTATCCCTAAATAGCCTTAATTACGGGTGGAACCTCGGGGGGGGGGGGTGTATACAGCTGGGAGGTTCATGGTACTTATTAACCAGTTCTAACTGTACATATAACCCACTTATAAGCCCCTTAAGTGCCCTAATATGGTTCCAAGTACAGTTAGAAGTGGTTAAATACGTACCATGAACCTCCAAGAGGGGGGTAGTAGGGAACTCATGATTACAGCCATGCCAGCCGCCACGACGGACTCCCCGTTGCGCCGGGCACTGCGCAGCCAGTCGCCTTCCCACCGCTGAGAGCAAAATAGGGTTGGGGTTTAGGGTTTGGGGTTTGGGGTTTAGGGTTGCATTTCGTGAGGCGCTCCGCTGGAAACCCTAAACCCCAGCTACCCTCTGCTAAGGGTTTTGGTGCTTTGGGTGTGCGGTGGGGTCCAGGTGAGGGTTTGGAGGGTCTCAGTGATACGGCTGGAAGGTTTTAGGGCTCCGCAGGATCTTAGGGTGCATGCACTGTTTTAGGTTTGGGGTTCGGGTTTTGACTTTTGGGCTCTTGTTGCGTTTCTTTTGGAATTCGGGGTGTTGGGGTGTTGAGGCAGGGTTAGTGTACGTAGGTTCATTGCGAGCCTCGTTGCTTTCAGAGGTTTTGGGGTTTAGGGTTTAGGGTTCCGGGCTCTAGAGTAGCAACTCCATTTTTCGCCTTGGTTTTGCAGGATTCTGCCTCAGTACTGCTTGGTATCCCCCAGTCTCAGTGTAGAGCACGTGGAGTGCTTCGGGATTCCCACTTGCCTTTACAGGTTCAGGGTTTAGGGTTTAGGGTTTAGGGTGTATAGGGTCTAGGGTTTAGGGCTAGTTGTTGGGGAGTGTGGACCTGACTTCATGGGTATATGGGTTGGCATCTGCAACGAAGCTTTGTTTAGGTGCAGGTACAGGGTCTTGGGTTTATAGGGTTCAAGCAAAGGCTTGTGGCCACGGGGTGGGATGTTTTTCTTATACGCACAGTCCTAATAGGGATTATCGTTCCCCCTATTCTAATCCCTGGTAAGGAACTGTGAGTGTAAAGGGGGAACATCCCAAGCTACGGGAGATGTGGGCTCATTCGGCATGCGGCTATCCCTGAAACCTACACCCTACATCCTGACGTATTAAACCCTAAAACCCTCCCTGCATATCGACCTGAACCCTATATGCTGCGCAGCTCAAAAGCTTCCGCTCAAAGGGAAGAGTGTCGCAATTCTTCTGTTTATACAGGGCTTAGGGGGTTGAGGGTTGAGGGTCTACGGTTTGCTTTGGGTTTATGTACGGTTGTCAAGGGAAGGTAGGTAGTTTAGGTATAGTTTAGGTAGCCCCTTCTACCCAGACCTCTGGTAGGCCTTACCCAAACCCCAAACCCGAAATCCTAAGAACTCCAACTAAACCCGCAAACCCCAACCCCGAACCCTTGCGCGCCAGCCCTAAACTCCAAGTCCCAAACCCTAAATACCCCAAACCCGAAATACCCCAAACCCTCAATAGCCCAAACCCTCAATACCCCAAACCCTAAACCCCAAACCCGAAACCCTAAAACCTAAACCCTACACCAAACCCAAGCCCTAGACCCGAAACCCTAAACCCTAAACCCTGCCATGTCGAGATGTCATGGTAGCCTGCGGAGAGGCCTTTGCCGGGGCTCTCGCCGTTAGGGGTGCCCTGGGGCCGAGTGCGCAGCCCTTTGCGCAGGTTTTAGGGTTTAGGGTTTAGGGTTTAGGGTTAGTGAATGTTTTTTGTGTAATTATGGGGCATTGGGCATTCTGCATGGGGCTAGGGGCATGAACAACTCACAAACTGTCAGTCTCTTCCGGCGTCGAGCTTGTGTACAAACGAAGAACTAGAGTTTAGCGTTAGGGTGTGTTTTTTAAGGTTTAGGATTTAGGGCTTAATTAAGCTGATAAGGTTTGTCCGTTTTTCTCCTTGGGGGGCTTCTCTGGCACTCCCTGGCATCCTCGTTTTACACGAAACCTTTAAACGCCTGAGAAGTCCCGCACTCCGAGGGACACCAAAACTCTTCCTAACCCTACTGTTTAGGGTAGGGTTTAGGGTTTAGGGTCTAGTGTTTAGGGTTTAGGGTTTAGGGTGTTGCGACCGCAGCCAGTACGACTGGCTCAACGAGGGGTGCGTCCGACAGCCTAGGTAAGCCTAGCCGCTACAGCAACGCAGCGTAGCAGGATGGCACAGGATAGCATCTGAGCAGAAATTCAGCATACAGAAGGCACGCAGTGGCTGACTTCCAGTGAACGCACGCCTTTCATAAGCCCTAAGACGGTCTACAATGGTGGGTTCAGGGTCTGGCCGCGCACTCTCAGGGTTTTCCTAAACCCTAAACCCTTAACCCTAAACCCTAAACCCTAAACCCTAGACCCTAAACCTCCATGGCTGGCCGCCCCGAGTTGGATGGAGCAGGGAGCTTTTCCCGTTCCGAGTCCGAGTTCTGGGTATGTCCGGAGGCATCGTATCTCGGTACGATAGGGGTCGGAATAAGTACTAGTAGTACTACCTTATGGTCCAGGGTTTAGGGTTTAGGGTTTAGGGTAAATATGCTATAGAAACCCCCAAACCCTATTCTAATCATTAAGGCCCCCTATATTGGGCCCTTGGGGGACGTTCATACTTGCATCGTATCTAGGTAGGTTTTTGGGACATTTCATCGTTTCCTTATTGGGTTCAAGAGGATCAGTATATTTAGGATTTTTCAGAGTGTTCTCATGTCATATTTTCATATTTTCCTGACTGGATTTAAGAGGACTAAATCATTGCACTTAGGATTTTGTTCAGAGCGTTTTTGGTTTTGGGACCATCCTAGGTATGTGCATGTGCAGACGACAGAGGTGGCAGCGACAGCTAAACTGCAAGTCCCCGTTCCCAGCACGCAGGCCTGCACATCGCTAGCTTCAGGTTCCAGGCCGGGTTGGGTCAAAAGTAGGGTTTAGGGTTTAGGGTTTAGGGTTTAGGGTTTAGGGTTTAGGGTTTAGGGTTTAGAGATTAAGGGCCCCTGAGCCCTGAACACTCTCGAGTGTTTGTTGGTCTCAGCTGAAGTCTTGGGGTGTAGAACCCTTAACCCTAAATCCGAGAAATCTTGGCCCAAGAGCTCCCAAGAACCCTTCTCCAGGACATCCGAAGATTTGCTGGTGGCAAACAGGACATCCGAAGATTTGCTGGTTGATTTAGAGCCGGAGCTCGTTCGAGGGGCCCCTGTCAGCAACATCCTGAGACGCTTCGGGAAGGAGTCTTGGATGCTATTTCCTGTCCCCCCCCCCCCCATAGCACAAAAGAAAACTTACATATGTAGGATGTGGTCGAAGTAGGAGGTCCTGTTGCTTTGGCTATCTCAAAATAGGCCCGAACCAGGAACCCTGTACAGCAATGAACTGATTGGTTTTCTGATAAACAGCCCTATAACCCTAAACCACTAAAGCCCCCATGGGCCGACGCAGGAATGGCATCAATCGGCTGGAGTGTGGAGGCCAGAACTCAGCAAGCAGACGCAGCGCTACCGAGACTGGGTTCCTTAAAAAACCCCATGCCAACCTTTTTTGGTAGGTTACATTGCTATAAAATAAAGCCCCTTATAGGCTTAGGTAACCAACAACAAAGGTAGGGGTTCTTCAGGTTCTTGTTCAGGACTTTTGGTTCAACTGTGTTCCCCTAATACCGGGTACTAGATCGCTTCTCTATGACCCCATGACGTCTACCATGGCAACATTAAGTTCCTGAACAAGAGCCAAGGATATTTCTTCAGCCATGACTGGAAAACATCGGGGTGGATGAAGTACCTGACCTTGGAAATCTACTTCAACGGCACGGCGGCGGCAGTAACAACATGCATCCTGAGTCTTGGCCTAGGTGGGAGTTTACGAAAATCGGGGACCCCCAATATAGCCCCCAAAATAGTAGGATCCCCTAAACCCTAAACCCTAAACCCTAAACCCTAAACCCTAAACCCTAAACCCTAAACCCTCCAGGTGTCCTTGGGGGATGGAGAGCAGATAGACCTGATGGCTGGCTTCTGCCCCGGACTGCCTGGTGGGTGGTGACTGGTCATGTGTCTTGGGGTTAACAATACCCTAAACCCTAAACCCTAAACGCTAAACCCTAAACCCTAAACCCTAAACCCTAACCCTAAACCCTAACTACATTTGCGGGTTCCATGGGCCCTCATCCCTATACAACCCTATATAACCCCATATATAGATCAGAGCGCAACCGGTGCCCCCCGCCCTCCCCTCCCTTCACCCCCTCTTCTCTGTGCTGTGGTGCGGGGTTTGGGGTTTGGGATTCAAAGTTTAGGGTTTAGGGTTTGGGGTTTAAAGTTTAGGGTTTAGGGTTTGGGGTTTAAAGTTTAGGGTTTAGGGTTTGATGTTTAGAGTTTAGGGTTTAGGGTTCAGAATTTAGGGCTCGGGTTCAGGGTTTAGCGTGTAGAGTTTAGGGCTGGGGGGGGGGAGGGCCGCATATTTAGGGTTTGGGGTTTAGGTTTAGGGTTTAGGGTTTAGGGATAAGAAGTATATTTTGCAACCTACTACTTCTGAAAGCTCCCCGCCCAAGGTGGGGGGAATGCTGGTCCTCTTCTTCTGGCAACACCTGCGCGAGTTGTTGTTGCAGCCACGGCTCGGGTTTCTGGACCGTGTCTGCATACCTCAAGATGACCACGAGAAGAAGTATCAGTGTGTGTCCTGGTACGGTTTTCGGGATATTTTCTTCAACCCTACCCCAAACCCCCCCTACGGACCCTAAGTCCTAAATCACCGTGGTCAGAAATATTTTTCCGAGTCCTCAAATGGCCCGAACCCAGAACCTATACCCCAACCCCCTACACCCTAAACTCTGCCTTAAGGACCCGAAACATTTTTTTCGGTTGTTACACATCCTTTTTTTGCAGTATGCCTTGATAACCTACTAAAAGTGTAGGTTGTGGGCTCTTAGAGGTGTAGGGTTTAGGGTTTAGGGTTTAGGTGTATGGCTTGGCCTCCATCTTGGACAAGTCCGAAGACCTCATCGTTCTCTGGTCTCCGAGATATTTTGGCAGGCTTTGGTGCATGCCTCTTGACTCCATGGGTAACATACAGTAGGGGCCTTAATGCTTATTAGAATAGGGTTTAGGGTCTAGGGTTTAGGGTTTAGGGTTTAGGGGGTTTAGGGTTCAGGGTTTTGACTCCGTGCGGGCAACATAGGGGCCTTAATGATTCGAATAGTGCTTTTGGGGGATATTATGGTATGATGATATAGGGACTCTAGTTCAGATTCTACTAGTAATTACCCCGACACCTATGTTGCTCAAAGAGGGGTGTCGTGGGTTGTAGGGTTGAGGGTTTATAGGGCTTTGGGGAGTGCAGGGTTTCAGGGTTACCCTAAGCCCTAAGCCCTAAACCCTAAACCCTAAACCCTTAACCCTTAACCCTTAACCCTTAACCCTTAACCCTTAACCCTTAACCCTTAACCCTAAACATGACATTCTAGGCAGCAGCTATCTGCATCCTTGTGCAGGTTGCTAGAAGTGCTTGCTGCTAGCCCAGCCAGAGACTCTAGGGTAGTTACATAGTCCCTTACTGTGGTGCCTCGCCCTAAACCCTAAACCCTAAACCCTAAACCCTAAACCCTAATCCCTAAACCCTAAAGGTTCCGAAGTAAGGGCTCTTGGGTTGTGTAGGGTAGACAAGGGGGTATAAAAGCGTTCCCCTGTTAAGGGCCCATACGAAGAGACCGTGAAAGAGAAACCCGAAGCCCCTAAACCCCAAACCCTAAGCCAACCCTGAACCCTAGACCCTAGACCCTAGACCCTAGACCCTAAACCCTAAACCCTAAACCTTAAACCCTAACCCTAACACCCTCAAAGCATCATGAGGCCGAGGCCTGCAACTACGCTGCAGTGCCTCCCCACGCCTCAAAACCCCTAACCTAAACCGTACTTACTGTTGGTTAGCAGGGAAGGAGGGAATTTGGGGCCCTATATATATATATATATCCCTTAAAGGGACTATATGGGGTACCTCATTACCGCATTCCATGTAAGCTTAAACGTTCAAGGATCATAAACCCTCTGAACCCCTAGGCCCCTTAATTGAGTAACCATGGCGGCCCCCTAAACCCTAAACCCTAAACCCTAAACCCTAAACCCTAAACCCTAAACCCTAAACCCCTCAAACCCAGGTACGAGATCGCCTGCTTCCTGATGAAGCGGAAGGAAGCCCATAAAATCAAGTTTTTACCTGTGCAACTTTACTCTGTGCCAGTAAATTCAAATGATTAGGGTTTAGGGTTTAGGGTTTAGGGTTTAGTGGTTGGGTTTTAGGGCTTCATGAGCTTGTTCGTTTTCCTCGGATTCTCCAGGAGTAGTAAGGTTTAGGCTTTTTTTATTCCTTGGCAAGATTGGAGAAGTAAGGCAAATCTCGGTCATTTGGATCCTGACGTACTTCGCCGTGTCAACCACATGGCTCACCCTTCTGCTGGTTCAGCGCTTTGGCTCTGAATTCTTCAGCTGGCATGACGATCAAGGGCTGATGAATGTGGCCTTGACCGTAGCACTGCAAGTTTGCGTTCTTTATCCACCGCTGTTCTACTTCATGAACCAGATGATGTATGACATTGCCCAGTTGCCGGGGCAGTTACGGGATTTCAACATCCACACCGCCCAGTGCTTTTGCTGCTCCAACGGCCATGAGCATCCTGTAACCAGAGAACCCTTGCAGTGCGACCGCGAACTTATCTATGGGGTGCTGCAGATGTGGTCCTCACGTGGTTTAGATGCCACGGACGCGGAACACATCCAGGCCGTCGTCAAACAACACTTCGACCGACATCTGGCAGCCTCGGTGGAGGAAGCCTTCACGCACACCGGCATGCTCATGCGGCCGCTGATCTCCGCCGCTGCGATCGGCTCCCTTCCGTTTATGTCCGACTTCGTTGCCTATGAGGCCGTCAAAATGGTCCATTATGGTTGGCTCAGCGCATTCACGAATTTGGGCTTGGGCCTCTACATGCTGTTTCTTGGTAGCACAGTGATACCCTTTACTTTTTTTTTTTTGTGGGGGGGGGGGGTGGGGTTCTGGGTTCCCTTATAAAGGAACCAACCAAAAAAAACGGTACCCTTATTGCAATATGGTTGCTTGAAGGTTCCTGGTACTTACAAACCAATTATAACTCTACTTATAACCCTACTTATAAATACCCCTAAAGGGCCTTATAGGGGTTATCCCAATTATAAGTAGGGTTGCCCAGCTGTAATTGGTTAGTAAGTACCGTGAACCCTTCAAGTGCTGGGCTGCCCAGGTTCTATATGCCTCTCTTCATCCGCTTTCTTCTGCTTGCGGCAAGAGTAGGCAGTTTGTGGTGGACTGGGCCGTGCTGTAACTTAGCAGCTGAAGGAGTACACTTTGCACTTTTTAGGGGTTTAGGGTTTAGGGTTTAGGGTTTAGGGTTTAGGATACTCTGATCCCCTATAGAACTGAAAGTGTACACTTTTTTGTGGGGCTTCTGAACTCAGCAGCTAAACCTAAACCCTAAACCCTAAACCCTAAACCCTAAACCCTAAACCCTAAACCCAGCTAAGGCAAGTGCATCGTCATCGCATGCCAGGCACTGGCCTTGTTCCTTCTCAGCGTGGTGGTCATCGTGGGCTATTCTGTTTGCAACGCACCTGGGCTTTGACCATGTATCGTTTAGGGTTTAGGGTTTAGGGTTCAGGGTTTAGGGTTTAGGGTTTAGGGTTTAAGGGTTGCTAGGAGCCAGAGTAGGCTTTCAACTTCTATTCCCTCTTTTTGAAGGTTGAGGTTCTCTCATGTTCCCGTCTGTAAGCTAGGTATCTAGGCTTCAGTGTACTCATGTGCTCTGGACAGCCACTTGGAGGTTTGGTAATGGTACTTAGTAACCTAAGCACAACCCAATGTATAACCCTGTTCGGGTGCCTAAGGGGGTTGATAAGTGGGTTATTACTACGCTGATGGTTGGGTTACAAAGTACGCAGAACCTCCACGTAAGGCAGTCGTTCCCAGGGACGCGTGGACGTCTCCAATGCATCCCATGCCCATGTACTTGCTCGGAATGATGGTGCTCGGCAGCGTGATCCTCGGGTTCCGTCATCTATGTCCCTGCCGTGCCTGTACTGCTGAGCACGTAACTGTTTATGGGCAAGTATTAAAAAACCTCCCCAAAAGATGAGCAAGTAGATTTTTCAGAAATTTTGTGTGGGCTTTGAAGACAGAAGCCAAAACCCTGGTTGCATACTTTAGGGGGGGGTGCCTCAAAGCTGGAAGGCGACCTTCTCCACCTAGGCAACTCAGCAAAAGTAAGGAAAATCCGTGATCATTGGTGGCATGCCCTGCGAAGACCGGCAGTGGCCAAAGAAATCTGAGGCCGCATCTGCGCACACCCACGCCGAAGAGCCACGGGTGCTTGCTGAGCCAGATATCGTGTGGGGAGAGTCCTGCTTCGGAATTTGACCCAGGGGTAGTTGCTAAAAAAAGGATCTACGACTCTACGACCCTAAACCCTAAACCCTAAACATGATCCAAGACCCTGGAACCCTGAACCCTAAAACCCTGGCTCCTTAGGGTCGTTAGCTAGGTAGGGCCTTTGGGTGAGTTCTGTGTTAGGGGTATGCCTGGGGGTGCAAACCCTACACTCAAAACAGCAGCAATTTTGATGGAGCTCTCCGCATGTTTTTCTTGCTAACATGCGGAGGGTTCAGGGTTCAGGGTTCAGGGTTTAGGGTTTAGGGTTTAGGGTTAGGGTTCAGGGTTCAGGGTTTAGGGTTTAGGGTTTAGGGTTTAGGCTTTTACAGGGTTTAGGGTTAAAGCACTTGCAAAGCCTCGGACCGCAAATCATGGTCAAGTCTCCGGGCGCCATTCATCGCGGAAGCTGGCACTCTTCCCATGACGATGTGCTCACATAATGCTTTGGTTGATCTAAAGTTCCTTTTCTAGGGGTTTAGGGTTTTAAGGTTCATGTTTTGGTTGATCTAAAGTTCCTTTCTAGGGGTTTAGGGTTTTAAGGTTCAGGGTTTAGGGTTTAGTAAGTAGGGTTTAGGGTACAGGGTTGTAGGTTTCGGGTTACGTCATGGCCTTGTTGGCCACAGGACTTGATAGATCAACCACCACGCAGGGCTTCATCTGAATTACGGTCCCTTCATCGGAACACTAACTATAAGGCTCCCTAACCTTGAGTCCCAAAACCTAAACCGCAACCTCTGGGAACCCTAAACGACCATAATTCAGAGAATTGCCCGCGTGTTTCTAAGGTTGGAAAACCACGGGCCTTAGTGTGTTCCCTTACACTTGCGTGCAGGGATCCGAAGTATGGGCCTTTATTGTTTATTATCATGATGACAATCATTGTTTTTTTTTACTATTCTTGCTATTCATACTATTATATATATATATATATAGTGTATGTAAGGGTTGCATAGCAAGGGACCCAAGCTCAGGGCCCAAAAAATCGGATCCCCCAAAGTTGCTGTTGTCGATATCCTCGGCTTGGCGGGGTTCGGCAGAGTCTCCTCGTGGAGCGCATTTTTCAACGAAGGCGGCGCCAAGATTTGCGAGCTTTTTGTTCGAAAGCCCTAAGCCTTAGCCTAAACCCTAAATCCTAATCTTGCCCTAAGCCCTAAACCCTGAACCCAAAACCCTAAACCCTAAACCCCCTAAGCCCTAAACCCTAAACCCTTAACCCTAAACGCCCCTAGAAGTCTCAGCAAGGGAAACATGGGGCCCCTTGAGCACCACCCCCCCCCCCCCCCCCCCCTTCGCCCTTACATCCCCCCCCTGCCCTTGAGGGTTTATTTCGGGTTTGGGTGTATAGGGTTTAGGGTATGAGATTTGCGTCATCGAAAGTTGGACTGTCTAGGGCTTAGGCTTAGTGTTCCGTAGGCTTTGGACCTTCCACGTTTGCTTTTGTAAGGGGTTCGATTGCCCGTCAGAAGGGCTTTTTCACAACGAGGGCGGGAGGCTACGCTTTCTAATCCTAGATTACCCTAAACCCTCAACCCTAAACCCTATACTCCGGGACGCAGTTTCTACGAACTACTACGAAGAAACGAGTTTCTGTCCGGCACTTTCGCTGTTCAGAACTATGGCGCTGTCGTTGGATTCAGAAGACCCAAAACAGAATACCCCAAAACCCTAAACCCAAACCCTAAACCCAAACCCAAACCCTAAACCCTAAACCCAAACCCTCAACCCTAAATCCTAAACCCTAGAACGCATCGCAAGCTTGGCGTCTTGGTCTCGGAAAGATTGCCGGACCAACAAACAACGGGTTCCGCCGACACAGCCTTAAATAGCCGCTTATTAGGCTTGGAGACTGCGCCATCAAGCAAGGGTAGTTATATGGACCCTTAATATGTCCATTACCTCCCTTAAAGTGTTCTGAAGTATAGGCCCTTGAGTTATAGAGGCTATAGGGTAGTTATACGGACCCTTAATATGTCCATTACCTCCCTTAAAGTGTTCTGAAGTATAGGCCCTTGAGTTATAGAGCCTATAGGGTAGTTATATGGACCCTTAATGTGTCCATTACCTCCCTTAAAGTGTTCTGAAGTATAGGCCCCTGAGTTATAGAGGCCATAGGGTAGTTCTATGGACCCTTAATACGTCCATTACCTCCCTTAAAGTGTTCTGAAGTATAGGCCCTTGAGTTATAGAGGCTATATGAGGGGTCCCTTCTAATGGCCCATACCATGGGACCATGTAACTGCCCTAAGACCCACTCTAACCCTAAACCCTGAACACTCGAGAACAACCTGAAGCCCTGAGCCCTACAAGCCTGTTAGCTTCCTTGGACGGTTGGACACATACCTAAACCCTAAACCCCTAAACCCCTAAACCCCTAAACCCCTAAACCCCTAAACCCCTAAACCCCTAAAGCCCTAAACCCCTAAACCCCTAAACCCCTAAACCCCTAAACCCCTAAACCCCTAAACCCGAAAGCCTCGGCCTGAGTGGCTGTTAGCAGGCTCTGTCAGTCCTCAGACTGAACCTTCATCTCCAAATTGCAGGACATCTCCAGAGCGAGAGTTCTCGGGTGTATATCCATACGAAGGGTTTAGGGAAGAGAGAGAGAGAGAGGAGATTATCTCCACATATATATATATACATCCATGTTTATATCCATATTTATAAGAACCTCCGCAAACCCTATAAACCCCATATACACCCTGCTAAACCCAAACCCTATATGAACCCTCAACCCGGAGGCGCGGCCACCCCAAAAGGGGACCGAAGTGTGGATAGCTTGCCATGCCCATCTGCATCGCTGATGTTGACTTCGATGAGAAAGTGATGCATTGGCTTCCGACGCTGGGTTCGGGGTTTGGGCGTTTGGGGTTTAGGGTTTGGGGTTTAGGGTTTAGGTTTTGGAGTTAAGGGGGTAAAGTGATGGGTCCAGATCAGACACTTCTGCGTCAAGGAGGGTAAGTAGTGTTCAGGATGTAGTGTGTAGGGTCATTATATATAACTCGAGATTTATGCGTTTAGGGTTTAGGGCGTAACTCGAGATTTTAATTCTAAGCCGCTTGGCAACCCGACCGGAGCCGATGTTTCAACTTCAGAGACGTGAGGGCCGCAGCAAAAAGAGATCAACGAAGTTCTCGACAGACCGAAGCTGCTACTTGAGACCAGTGTTGCGGGTTTAGGGTTTAGGGTTTAGGGTTTAGGGTTTAGGGTTTAGGGTTCAGGGCTTAGGTTTCCTGAACCCCAAATCCTAAAGGCCCTAAACCCAACACCCAAAACCACAGAACCCCAACACTCCCAGAACCCGACAGAGACTGAAGTCCCCCAAGCCCAGACTCCAATCCACTAAGCCCTAAACCTTATAACCTCTATAGAAACCCTGGAAGTCCCATGAACCCTTTGTCTTTGGTTTTAGGGTTTAGGGTTTAGGGTTTAGGGTTTAGGGTTCTAGGGTTCTAGGGTTCTAGGGTTCTAGGGTTCTAGGGTTCTAGGGTTTAGGGTTCTAGGGTTTAGGGTTAAGGATGAGGCCTGAAACCTAAACCCTGGCGGCCTTTACCCGATCCCCCCCTTGTCGTCCACACTCCTCTCAACCCTGCCTCCCGAGCTTAGCACATGCTACCGGTAATTTGCACGTGTGTCTGCTTGCGCTTTTGTCTTCGCGCCGCGCTCAGAAGTAGCCAGCAAACCCGACAAGCCTTTCAACGCGCTAAACCCTAAAGCCTAGACCCCTGAAACCCTGCAGCTGTGAAACCCTGCACAACCCGTAAAATCTTAACTCCCTAAAAGCCCTCAAAGCCCTAGGCCCTCAACCCTAAACCCTAAACCCTAAACCCTAAACCCTAAACCCTAAACCCTAAACCCTAAACCCTAAACCCTAAACCCTAAACCCTAAACCCTAAACCCACCGGCCCGAAGGCCTTGAGACCCCAAAACCCAAATCCACGGCCACACTGCAAGGCGACCTATCCGAAAAGCCCTACACCCTAGACCCTAGACCCTAAACATCCGAAAAGCCCTAAACCCTACACCCTAAAGCCTAAACCCTAAACATCCGAAAAGCCCGAAACCCTAAACCCTAAACATCCGAAATGCCCTAAACCCCAAACCCTAAACCCTAAACATCCTCAAAGCACTGCCAGGCCGCGTGCCACGTGGTTTCTGGACTCCGGCTGGCAGAAATGTGCTCCCGAGCTCACGACCCCGTGATAAAGAGGTTTAGGGTGCCGGGTTGAGGGTTCAGGGCTCTGTACCGCCCAAGGGTTTCGGGCACATAGTTTGTAGGGATTTGGTTCTAGGGCTCAGGGAGTATCGTGTTCAGGGATTCAGGGTTTGGGGTTTAGGGTTATGGGTCTTAGGGCTTAATTATGCTTAGTGCGCAGTGGCCGGCAAGAATGCCCCAAGTAATTCTACACGTCATCCTAAACCTTAAACCCTAACTAAACCCTATGGCAAGTATCATCTATGGTGGTTAGGCTGTTTGGGCTGTTTGGGCTGTTTAGGTTTTTTTTTGTGTTTGGAGTGTAGGGTTTGGGGTTTAGGTGTAAGGTGGTGAGGGCACAAAGGGCTCCATGGGGGTGTAGGGTTCTTGGGGTATAGGGTTTAGGGTTTAGGGTTTAGGGTTTTTGGTTTTTGGGGTTCAGGGTTCAGGGTTTAGGGTTTAGGGTGAGTGTGCCGGGTTTCCTTCTGCGGATACCAATCGGATAGAACCTACTTCATGGCTCTTCACGTTCACACCGTGCCCCGCCTGCACAAGCACAAACCCTATACCCTTGAATCCTAAGCCATAAGCCCTAAATCCGAAGCCCCCAAGCCCTAAACTCAAGCCAAATTCTGAAATATCTTACGTGCGAGCGCTTCAGTTCCCGAGCGATCAGTTTCTAAGGCTACCGCCGAAACCCTGAACACCCTGAACCCCCCCCCCCCCCCCCCCCCCTGCAGAAAAAAGTAAACCCCTAAACACCGTGACGCGGAAGCCCTAAACCTCAGCTCTTTTGCACCTAGCAAGTCTACATAGTATCCCTAGAGACCCTATATGATAATCTCCATAAAGCCACCTTATTAACCCTACTTACTACTTACAATACGTCACAATGCTTGCGCAGCCACACCCTTCTTTCTCCACAGGAGAAGTTCAGAGCAACACCTTGTATCTGACAGTGCCATCCCTGCCGAGATGGGCTGGCAAGAGGTGTAACAGTGTGGCGACAACCCTACTTACTAAGTCAGAAGGGCTAACCCTAAACCCTAAACCCTAAACCCTAAACCCTAAACCCTAAACCCTAAACCCTAAACCCTAAACCCTAAACCCTAAACCCTAAACCCTAAACCCTAAACCCTAAACCCTACTTACTAAGTCAGAAGGGCTTCCAAGTACTCCAGAGCCCAGATTCCCCAAACACTGCGAAGAGTGGGCCAGGTATTCAGTAGCTTCCATAAGGGCGCCAAAATTGGTTTTAGGGTTCAGGGTTTAGGGTTTAGGGTTTAGGGATTCTGGGTTCAGGGATTTTGGGATTTAGGCTTGCCTGTGGGAGACACCTTCTCCTTGCTCGGCTCCAGTCGCAAGTAGCTGCCTGATGATGAATCAGCCCGATCACGACCACCCTCAGATGCTCCCAAACTGCCCCGGCATCCTTGCAGAAGCCCTAAACCCTAAACCCTAAACCCTAAACCCTAAACCCTAAACCCTAAACCCTAAACCCGCCTTCCAAGTCTTACGTACTTTCTTCCAGGTTCCACACCACCAGGCGCGCGCAGCCATGCCCCATGCAGCCCCAACGGTGACATTGGCGATGACGACCCCCCGAATCGAGCCGATCTCTCCAGTGAGCACCGCTCCTTCAGCTCCCTACTCAGAGGGTTTGGGGTTTAGGGTTTAGGGTTTAGGGTTTAGGGTTTAGGGTGGGCTGCTGCCGTTCTAAGTCTTTATTCTACGAGCTTAGTCGTATACATGGAACCCTAAAACCTGAACCCTGAACCCTAAACCCTAAACAAACCCTATATCCTCAGTCTATACATCCCGCTCTCGCCTGGGCGTGGGTGCTCGCCGTCACCCCGAAACTCTTTTTTTTTTCTCCACTTCTCGGGTCGCAAAAATGCGAGCCCGTCGTCACTGTTGGCTCACCCAATGCGAAGCAGTCCTCGCCTTTGGGCTCACATGGTCTCTCACTGTTTGGGGACCACAATTTATATAATTTATGTATGTATATATATATATACATATATTATTTTTAATGTATTAATACATATATATATATGCATACATATACATAGTGAATGCACATGATTTGCCGATAGCTGTAACTGAGAAGAACCGCAAGTTGATTCAAGTTCCTGAACAGCGGCCCAGACAAAAAATGCTTGCACAGACAAACCATCGTCTATGGTCACTACAGTCCTGGAAACCATCTGCTGTTAGGAGTTTGGTACCTCGAGCCTGCGACCGTGGATCATACCGGTGATTCTGCAGCTCACCTGCTGTCTAGTCTAGTCCAGTGGTACTCCTTTTCCCATTTGTTGGTTCAAGGTTCCCTTATAAAAGTAACCAGCCCCAAAACCGGGTGCCCTTATTACAATATGGTGTCTGGGCTACCAAGCAGTGCAAAGCTTTGGACAGTCTGTCGGAAGAGGTAATCATGTGTACCTCGAGGTCAACAGGGTCCGAAGAGAGGGGGGGGGGGGGTAAGCTTGCAGGGCGGCGTGCTCCTTCAACCCTAAACCCTAAACCCTAAACCCTAAATCCTAAATCCTAAACCCTAAACCCCAAACCCTAAACCCTAAACCCTAGACCCTAGACCCTGAGCCCTGCGCCTTCAAGGCCCAGCTTCTTGCAGGGCAAGGAAACCTTTGTGATGCCCATGTTGCCGATCTTCGTCGTTGAGCTCGGGGGCTCCCATGGCATGGCTGGAACCTAGGATGCCCAGTAGCCCTAAACCCTAAACCCTAAACCCTAAACCCTTTTTGGTAGGTTTAGGTTCCCTTATTGCGCTAGTTGCGTTTCGGGTGCGTGGGATTGTCTTGGATGCGTTTCGGGTGCGTGGGAGTTTTTGGGATGATTCCTGTGTTTTGTCTCGTTTTTTGTTGGGCTGAAGGAGGTGCTGTACGTTCTTCCCTTGGAAGCTGTTATTTGGATGATGCTCTATTTGCGATGTGTGTATACATGCCCAATTATTTTACATATGTGTATATATACATATATATATGTGTGTGTGTGTATGTCTAGATGTGTGCGATTTTCTTTTATGTACCTGCGTATGCTTGTTCGCAGGATATGTAGGGAGGCGGGCCCCCGCACCACCACCTGAGGTGAATGCAGGGGAAACGGTTTAGGGTTTAGGGTTTAAGGTTTAGGGTTTAGGGTTTAAAGTTAGGGTTTAGCGTTTAGGGTTTAGGGCAGGCGGGCCCCCTCTACAGTGCCAGCCTGGGCACTGCGGGGGGAAAAGGCTTAGCTCGTCGCCTTAAACTAGAAATACCCTAAACCCTAAGCCCTAAAGTGCTGGGAAGGGGTGGGGGGGGGGGTCCCCTGCACTACCACCTGAGGTGAATGCAGGGGAGTAGGAGCAGGTGGGTCCCCTCTACAGTGCCAGCCCGTGCACTGCGGGGGGAAGAAGACGACGTCGCCTGAAACCGTAAACCCCAGACCCTAAACCTCAAACACAAAAGCCTAAACCCTGAACCATAAAGAACTTGTAGAACTCCCAGAACCTCGGCCCTCAGAACTCGTATCACTAAACCCTAAACCTCTAAACCCCAATCCCCAAACCCTAAACCGCAAAACCTAAACGCATAGAACTCCGTCCTTCAGAACGGCTAGAACTTTTAGAACTTTTAGAAGTTGTTAGAACTTTTAGAACTTTTAGAACTTTTAGAACTTTTAGAACTTTTAGAACCTGTAGAACTCGTAGAACTTGCGGAACTTGTAGAACTTCTAGAACGGTTAGAACTTTTAGAACTTTTGGAACTTCTAGAACTTTTGGAACTTTAGAAGTTTTAGAACTTTTAGAACTTGTGGAGCTTAAGTGACTTGAAGAACTTCAGTACGTTTAGAACTTTTAGAACTTTTAGAACTTCCCAAACTTGTAGTACTTCTAGAAAGGCTAGAACCTTTAGAAGAGCTTCAATGACTTGAAGAACTTAGAACTTTTAGAACTTTTAGAACTTTTAGAACTTTTAGAACTTTTAGAACTTTTAGAACTTTTAGAACTTTTAGAACTTTTAGAACTTTTGGAACTTTTGGAACTTCTGGAACTTTTAGAACTTTTAGAGCTTAAGTGAGTTGAAGAACTTTTAGTACGTTTAGAACTTTTAGAACTTTTAGAACTTCAAGAACTTTTAGAACTTCCAAGATCGACTTGTAGTACTTCTGGAACGGCTAGAACTTTTAGAACTTTTAGAAGTTTTAGAACTCTTAGAACTTGAAGAACTTCAATGACTTGAATTTAAGAACTACCTCTAAAAGCTCTAAAAGTTCTAAAAGTTCTAAAAGTTCTAGAAGGTCTAGAAGTTCCATAGCTAGGAGAATGTCTAGAACTTTCAAAACTTCTAGAACTTTTGGAACTTTTAGAACTTTTAGAACTTTTAGAACTTTTAGAACTTTTAGAACTTTTAGAACTTTTAGAACTTTTAGAACTTTTAGAACTTTTAGAACTTTTAGAACTTTTAGAACTTTTAGAACTTTTAGAACTTTTAGAACTTTTAGAACTTTTAGAGCTTTTAGAACTTTTAGAACTTTTAGAACTTTTAGAACTTTTAGAACTTTTACGCTTGGAACTTTCAGAACTTTAACAACTTCCAAGTCGCAGGAAAACTTTTAGAACTTTTAGAACTTTCAAAACTAGAACGTTTAGAACTTTCAGAACTTTAACAACTTCCAAGTCGCAGAAACTCGAAAAAACACAGCTAAAACCCCATACGCCCGAAATGCGTCCAAGACATTCCCATACGCCCGAAATGCTTCCAACCCCCCTTATTAACCCTTTTAAGCAAAAAAAGGGCCACCCTTCAAAAAGCGTAGGTTCCTGGGCAGCCGAGGAACCGTTTCCTCTTCCTTTGCCTTGACACAGCTGGTCACCTCAATCCCTGCGACCCGGTGGCAAGGGGGAGGGGGGGGTGGCCCAGAGACTCCAAAAAACCCCTTCAGTAAGGAACATATACCTGAAATTATATTTAGTAGGAACCCCAATAATAGGATTTAAGGGTTACCCTTCATAATGAAGGGGTTTTGGAGTCTCTCCTGGGGGGGGTTTCCGGTGTAGCGTTTAAGAATTCAAGGGCTCCAGCAGGTCATGCACCTTCCAGTCGCCTACTTGAAGGTTCATGGTACTTACCAATTATAACTGTACCCAATGATAAGTAGGGTTATATACTAACCAATTATAACTGTAGTACCCAAGGATAAGTAGGGTTATACAGTTATAATTGGTTAGTAAGTACCATGAACCTTCAAGTAAGGTGGGCGTGATCCTGCAGCGCTTTCAGTACTCCTTGGCAGCATGCCTTGCACTCTCCTGGATGGCCACCACGTCGCCAAGGGGTACTTAGAAACATTTTTGATGTTTAGGGTTTAGGGTTAACGGTTTAGGGTTTTGGGTTTTGGGTTTTGGGTTTTGGGTTTAGGGTTTAGGGTTTAGGGGGAACTTTAATTCCTAAGAAACAACAAAAACTATAATTTTGCTAGGGCTCCAAGTTCAGTGTAGGTCGGTCCTTTCTTTCGAGTCGCAGTCCGTGTACATGCTGCTTGCGGTCCGGCTAGTGGGCGGCGTTGGCGCCTCGGCCCTTGAAACCCTAAACCCTAAACCCTAAACCCTAAACCCTAAAAATCCCTAAACCCTGAACCCTCAACCCTAAGCACCTGAAATCCGATGACCGGAAACCTACCGTCGGGCTTGGGCACCTGGGGTCATGGTTTAGGGTTTAGGGTTTAGGGTTTGGGGTTTAGGGTTTAGGGTTTAGGGTTTAGGGTTTAGGGTTTAAGATAGTCATGCATGGTACTAGTTGCAACCAGTGCCCATGGACCACCTGAGGCTCCAAGCGGAGAGGCCCTAAGCTGCCCTAAACCCTAAACCCTAAACCCTTTATCCACCTTGTCAACACCAGTTCTTTTAATCTTCTTGCCGCTAAGGACTCATCCAGCGTAAAGAGCCCCGAGCCCAAAAACCCTAAACCCTAAACCTTAAACCCGAACCTAAAACCTAAGCCCTAACCCTAAACCCTAAACCCTAAACCCTAAACCCTAAACCCTAAACCCTAAACCCTAAACCCTAAACCCTAAACCCTAAACCCTAAACCCTAAACCCTAGACCCTAAACCCGAAACCCTAAACCCTAAACCCTAAACCCTAAACCCCAGCCTCGGAAGGCGGCACCGTCTTTGACATTTCTCGGAAAGCTTCTTGGTAGCCCAGTGGTACCCTTTTCCCGGGGTTCAAAATTCCCTGATAAAGTAGCCCTAAACCCTAAACCCTAAACCCTAAACCCTAAACCCTAAACCCTAAACCCTATACCCTAAACCCTAAACCCTAAACCCTAAACCCTATGGTCACTGGGCTACCCAGGCCTACACAAGTGCAGAAGTGCCTTCCAGAATCCGAGGCCGGATCATTGCCTCTCTTGCAAGCATTCAGAAGCTTGGTATGGTTTAGGGGTTTGGGGTTTAGGGTTTAGGGTTTAGGGTTTAGGGTTTAGGGGTTTAGGGTTTAGGGTTGAGGGTTTAGAGGGTTTAGGGTTTAGGGTTGAGGTTTTAGAGGGTTTAGGGTTTAGGTTAGGGTTTAGGGTTTAGGGGGTAGAGCAGTGGTGCCCTTGTCTTTTTTTTTTTTGTTTTGGGGGGGGGGTTCGCGGTTCCTTTATCAAAAGCCGACCCCAAAAAGGGCACCCTGGTTGCAATATGGTTACTGGGCCACCAAGGAAGTGGTCGGAGATGATCGCAGCCCTCCTGAGCGGTGCTGTGGCTCAACATATCGCCACACGGGGCATCTTCCTCGTTCAGGCTCTCTTAGACCTCAGTGCCTTGTTTCTCATTGCCTGCCACAGCTTGTGCCGACAAAGTCGCCGAGCGCCTGACAGCGAGCGTAGCGAAGATTTGCAGAGAGGGAACTCGGCCCAGATTCCCGGGGTCGGTCTGGGTGTGGTGCTGCAAGAGCACTGGCGCGCTCTGGCCGGGGCCGGAGTTTTCTGCACTCTTCTGTCAGGAATACGAAGCACTTGGGTGGTTGCCTTGCCCCTGTGTGGGCACTATGTAGGTCTGAGCAAGGTGGCAATCGGCTGTGCCCTCGCGGTGCAGAGGGCCTGCGAAGCCACTGTGACGGCGCTGCTCGCAGGGCATATGATGGACGAGTATGGTCTCAAGGCAGTCGCTGTGCCCTCCCTGATCTTGATCTCCGCAGCCTTCGCGCTACTCTCTGCTGGCCAAGAGACTCAGATCCTCGGTTTGGCGGCCTTCGTCTTCAGCGTGGGAAATGGCATGTGTGGCGGCATTCTCAACACTTTCGCGACTCACTAGGCACACCTGGAATCTGCTGCCTTCTGTTGTTTTGGGTTGGGAGGATCTACTCTATAGTCTAGAAGAGGATCTTTCAGAGGGTTCTTGTAAAGTGCCAACTGTGCCAACCTAGGCAACGAGCCTGGCTCCCCCAGAGGCTCGAACCCAATTCCTCGGCTTGTTCAAGACAGTCACGGCTGTTGGTGGGATCTTACTGCCTCCGCTCTTTGGCTACGTCTCTGATGCCACATCTCCGGAAACTTAGGAATACTTGAGAAAACATTTTTAATTTTTGGGTACTTTAATTCCTTAGAAAACAGCTGAAATTACCATGTTTTCATTTTTCTAGGGCTCCAAGTTCAGCATAGGAAATTGCTTGTGTGAACCTTGCGGCTGTTTCGTTGTATGCGGCAGCGTGGGTGCTGCTGTTGGTGCGTGAGGAACCGGGGCCTCCTAGCACAGCCAACTTTAAAGCACTTGGGCAGGACTCGCCTTTGGCTTAGGGTATTAGGGTTTAGCGTTTAGGGTTTAGGATTTAGGGTTTAGGGTTTAGGGTTTAGGGTTTAGGGTTTAGGGTTTAGGTCTAGGATATAGGTCTCGGGTTTAGGTCTAGGGTTTAGGGTACTTGCTTGTGTGAAACCACAATACCTTTACCTTCTAGTTCTCGTGTCGGACTTTCGGAACTTCGTTGCTCAAAGTACCCTTCGTAGCCCAGTGGTACCCTTTACTTTTGTTTTGGAGGGGGTTCTGGGTTCCCTTCTAAAGTAACCAACCCCAAAATGGGTGCCCTTGTTGGAATATGGTGATTAGGGAACCTTGGGTTACATAACCCCTAAACCCTAACCCTAAACCCTAAACCCTTAAACCGTGGTTCAAGATGTTGTTGACTTCCGGGCGAGTCCTCATCCCGCAAATGTGGGGCCAGGTTTGCTAGATTGTGCCATATTGGGGGGGGGTATAGGGCTGAGGGTCGAGGATGTAGGGTGTAGGGAAATCTGCACCCAAAAGAGACCTTAGAACCACCCTTGCGTTCCAAACTCTTGTCGAGCCTATCTTTGCCTAGAGTAACTTTGTACCTAAAACAGAGGATATCTTGCCCAACCATTTAGCTAATTACATGTCAAAGGCTATTCTTATTCTAGGTAGTCCTTACGTAGTCCCTATGCTCTTCAATCGCCTTTTAATTCAAAGTAATGCCCCTAACCCAAGGTCCTTAAATCCTAAGCCTTGGGATGTTGCCCCTTGTACTAGCCGTTCTGAGTGTGACCATAAATAGGGGGAACGACAATCCCCACCTAAACCAAAACCCCAAATCCAACCCCCAAGCCCGCAAACCGCCATTCTCGGCCAAAACGTCTTAAGATCTAGCTAGAACCCCTTTTGCCCCTTTTAGGGTTAAGGGTTAAGGGTTTAAGGGTTAAGGGTTCAGGGTTTTAACCCAAAATGGGTGCCCTTACTTTACTATGGTTGCTGGGCCCAGGGGCTCTTCAATTGACGCCCCTCCCAAGAAAAATCAACCCCAGAGCCCACCCTTTCGGAACCCTGGCTCCATCTGAACAAAACCAAACTTCCTAAGCCCGAAGCCCCAAACCCTGATCCCTGAACCCTAAACCCTAAACCCTAAACCCTAAACCCTAAACCCTAAACCCTAAACCCTAAACCCCGGTTTCTCAGCCTTGGTGCCACATCCCTTCAAGCTCTAAGTAACAGCTAAGGAATGCTCCTGTGGGAGGGTTTACAGGCTTTAGGGTTTAGGGTTTAGGGTTTAGGGTTTAGGCGGCCCTCAACAACCCTAAACCCTACCCAAAGGGTCCATGTACCATCTTGTTCTATACCTGTGCCCCCAAAGTACCTTATAGCAAGCACTTTATAAGGCCCAACGAATTCCTATGTAGGTACATGGACCCTTAAAGCTAGGTCGGGTGCACAAAGTGGTTTGTACATCCGCTGCACACGACCAGTCGGTCTTTTGCATATCGCCCTGGCGCTGTTGCAGATGTTAAACCCTAAACCCTAAACCCTAAACCCTAAACCCTAAACCCTAAACCCTAAACCCTAAACCCTATGTCCCCAAGCCTTAAACTCCTAGAGCCCTGGAACCCTAACCTTGAAACCTTTCAATCCCTGGATATCCCTCTGCCCCCCACAAAAAAAGAAATAAATAATAATAATTATTATTATTATTATTATACTAAGAATAATCATAGTAATAATAAAAACAAAACTCTCAAGAACTTCGTCCCCCAACTGTAGCTGTACCTATAACCCACTTGAAAACCCTAGTACGGTACCAATGGGGCTTATAAGTTACTTATAAGTAGGTTATCGCTGCATATAAGTGTTGGGTTAAGCCCTGCACCCGAAACCCTACACTATAAACCCTAAACCCTCATACTTGGCTTGCGAAGTACCCCGGAACTTCCAAGTAGACGTTTATGAGCAGGCGGGGTCTGTAGGGACGGCTGTATGCGGTTGAGGGTTTCGGTATTCGGGCCTTCAGAAGTCTCGATCAGTGTTAGGGATCCTTTTTACTTTTTGGGTTATGGGCTTTCTTATATATGAACAAAAAGGATCCTTTTTTCTTCCTAGGGGAACAGGGATTAAGAAGTTTTGGCGAGTTACAGGTTTGTGTCTTAGAGCTCAGGGTTTACGGGACTCTTGCAATTTAGAGTCTAGAGCGTTCTTCAGGTGTAGGGTTTGAGTGTTTGACGTCCGGGCCGTTTAGGGTCGTACTCAGAGAGTAGAGTTTAGTTGCAGGTGTTCTAGCAAGACCACCCTAAACCCTAAACCCTAGACCCTAAACCCTAAACCCTAAGCCCTAAACCCTAACCCCTAACCCCTAAACCCTAAACCCTAAACCCTAAACCCTAAACCCTAAACCCTAAACCCTAAACCCTAAACCCTAAACCCTAAACCCTAAACCCTAAACCCTAACCCTAAACCCTAAATCCTCAACCCTAAATCCTCAACCCCATGCTACAGCGTCTGAATCGGAACAGAAGATGAACCCCTGGAGGCACAAAAGCCACCAAACAAAAGTCTCCAGGCCATCCTGGTCCGCTCTTGCCAGCGACCTGTCAGAAGCCATGGTGCGTCTGTGAGCCATACGGATATTCCGATCTTCTCTCCACCCCCCCCCCCCCCCCAAACCCTAAACCCTGATCCTGCATCCCAACCCTAAACCGGGTTTAGGACTGAGGCTTTGCGGTGACATGGCGCAGAAGCTGTGAAGGGGTTTAGGGGTTAGGGGTTTGGGGTTTAGGGTTTAGGGTCGTGAGATCGTGAGATGTGAAGAGCAGCTATGGCCCGAATCTGGTGCCATGTCGTCTCAGGTGGCAAAACCACCTGAGACCTATTCCTTTTAGGGTTTCGGCCTAAACTCAAGTCAATTGCACGCTGTTCTTCCATCCAGTGGTGCTTCATTATGCCCGAAAAGTCCATGTACCATATTGTTATATACCTGGCCCCGAAGTACCTACATAGGAAGCACATTCAGGCTCAAGTAATTCCGATTTAGGTATCCTAAACCTTAAATCCTAAACCGTAAACCCTAAACCCTAAACTCCTCAGTTAGTTACGTGGACCCTTTGGGAAGATTCCCTTGAGTTCCAGCGCGTATGTCCTAAAGGGTCCCATCGCCGGGGTCTCAGGAAGGGCCCGGACAGGTCTAGGGGTTCACAGGAGGTCGCAGGAAGGTGGCAGCTGTGTAGGGTTTAGGGTTTAGGGTTTAGGGTTTAGGGTTTAGGGTTTAGGGTTCAAGGTGTAGGGGTGGTCCCAGCAGAAGCTCAGAATAGCTGTGAGGGCGGCCTCAGCCTTGAGTTTAGGGTTTAGGGTTTAGGGTTTATTCAGGGTATTGTCGGGTAAACCCTACTTGGAGGTTCATGGTACTTTGTCCGTCAATTATAGCTGTACTTCCAACTATAGCCCTATGAGTGTACTTCAGGGGCTTATGAGTGGCTATAGCCACACCAGTATAATTGGGTGATAAGTACCCTGAACCTCCAAGTATCCGGGATTGGGCAGTTCCCCAAGCTGTGTTTCTCTTTGGGCGCCCTCAAAGGGATTCGGAATGTAGAGAACCCCTTACTTCCGTGGTTTAAGGCTTAGGGTTACATGTATTTCCCCACAACAATCCCAGTAGTGCTTCCTGTGCAACTCAAGAAGTTGCCTGACGCTCTGCCTCTGACATCGTCGAAGCTTACACATCTACTGTGCTTTGCGCCGACTCTGCGGGTTTAGGGGTTTGGTGCTTAGGGTATAGAGGGTTATAGGGTTTTAATCATAGGGCTGAGGGGTTTAGGGTTTAGGGGTTGGGGGGCTTAGGTTCAGCGTTTAGGGTTTAGGGGGTTGGGGGTTTAGGTTCAGCGGGTGTCCCGAAGCCGCGCAGATGTGATCGCAGCTCCGCCTTACGGCAGCCTTTGAGAACGCACGCCTAAGGGCCTTGAGGAGCACGTTGGCCGAAAGTTTGCTGTGCCACGTTTGCTTTAGCATCCCGATTGGGATTTTCTTGTTGCTCCGGTAAACCCAAGGATCCACGTACCTATTTTAGGGTTGAGGGTTTAGGGTTTAGGGTTACATAGTATGTACTTGGGCCTTGAAGCTACTATAGGATCCTTAGGGTAACCCTCCAAGGAGGGGTACTGCATTGTAGTCCAGATGCGAGTCGAGCAGAGATGATCTCATTCATCCCTATACCTTCATCAGCCTCGCGGGGCATTTCTCGCGCTGGAAAAGTTTCGTGCGCCCGCTGGGCAAGAAGGACAGCCCTGAACTTAAACCCGAAGCCCAACTCCTCAAACCCCAACTCCACACGCACCCTTTTCCGCTGCTAGTTTTGAGATTTGGGTTTTTTCAACCCTAAGCTGGGGTTTCTGCTTCTTCTGGCGATGTCTATTCTGGGTGGAGGCCCCTGGAAGGGCTTAATTATGGGGTTTGGGGGTTTACAGATTTGTTGCCACAGGAGCTTCTTTTCAGTTGTTGGGAGGTGCTGTGTTCCAATTTTATAAGGCGGCATGCCCAAACCCTAGACCCTAGATCCTGAACCCTAAACTCTACACACTAAGGAGCTCTAGCCTGCATCCCTAAACCCTAAACCCTAAACCCTAAACCCTAAACCCTAAACCCTAAACCCTAGGAACTCTTGTAGCTTTTTCGGAGCTTCGTGGTGAGATGGCTGGCACACTCATTTAGGCTCCTGAATTTGGGTAGGGTTTAGGGTTTAGGGCCGAAGTTTAGGTTTTAGGGTGTGGCGTGTGCAGTTCCCATCTCAAAGCACGCCTAAACCCTAAACCCTAAACCCTAAACCCTAAACCCCCCGGAACAGCCGCCGGCTCATGGCGACTTGGCTTCCAGCGCTGATGAAGACCCCCTCAAGCCCAAGACCTGTAGAGCCCTACATGAAACAGCAGCCCGAAACCCTAAACCCTGAACCCAGAACCCTGAACCCTAAACCCTAGACCCTAAACCCTAAACCCTAACCCTAAACCCTAAACCCTAAACCCTAAACCCTAAACCCTAAACCCTAAACCCTAAACCCTAAACCCTACACTCCTTGAAGCCCTAAGCCCTGAACACCTACACCAAGCCTGGGCCTGGATCTCTACAGGGAAGGCCACCCCGGGTTTAGAGCTTAGGGTGTAGACGGTTTAGGGTTTAGGGTTTCGGGCTTAGGGTTTAGGGTTTAGGGTTTAGGGTTAGGGGGGGCCGGGCAACCTCAGACACCGAACCCAACTCCCAAAACCCGCGCGCTCAAGCCTGTAAACCCTAAAGCCCCTAATTCCTCTGGACCCCCCCCCAAACCCTTAAACCCTTAAACCCCCTAAGCCCTAAACTACCCCAAGCCCTAAACCCCAAGCCCTAACCCCCCTTCCCTCTCCCCAACAAGCGGACTTGGGTTTAAACCCTAAAGCCTTTCATGTTCGGCCCAGATGGCAACCCCAGGCTGGCGGTCTGGAAGCTTTCAGGGTTTTTGGTTGGGGTGTTCCCCTTTTTTGTAGCAGTCCTCAACCCTAAACCCTAAACCCTAAACCCTAAACCCTAAACCCTAAACCCTAAACCCTAAACCCTAAACCCTAAACCCTAAACCGAAGAGGGAGTACCCCCCAATTAGAATCCCTTTTAAGGTTTGCGAGTATGTGGGGTTTAAGGGTGTAGGGTGTGCACAGGGTTTAGGCCTGCGGGCTTAGGGTTCCATTTTGGGTTTAGGAGGTTTAGGGTTAGGAACTATATGTCCTATGTTCATATACACCCACGCGGGAACATCTAACATCCTCAGATATGAATTGCTTCTTTCGGCAGCCTGAGGTAGAGTGGAGTAGAGGGTTAGGGTTTAGGGTTTCGGGCTTCCGGGTTTGGGAGCATTTTGGGATTGGTGTGGGTCATGAAACTTCACAACTTGCATTTTACATTCCTCGCATCCCGCGAGCCTCGAAAGAAACCATACCCTAGAAACCCCAAACCCCAAACCCTAATCCCTAGCCCTAAACCCTAAACCCTAAACCCTAATCCTAAACCCTAAACCCGAAGCCCCTGCCAAGCCCTGGATTCCGAAGCCCGACGACGTAAACTTGTGCACAGCGGAGGCGCCGCTTCGCGTGCGCTGCCGCCGGTGGTGGGCTTCATCGACATGGAGCGCTGACGGCCTATGTCCCTAAACCCTGATTCCTAAACCATAAACCCTAAACCCTAAACCCTAAACCCTAAACCCTCATGTTAATGTCGCTTTAATAAACCACCCCCCCCCCCCCCCCGCATCTTGTTTTGGTCCCCAGGGTTTGGATGGGTCAAAAAAAGAGGGGGTGTCAATAATTGGAATCTGGGGGTCTTCTGGGGGTCTGGGCAGGGGTCAGCTGTCAGGGTCTGCTCTGCTTTGTCTTGAAGGGAGCCTCGGAGCTCTTTCAAGCCAGCTCAGCTGACAAGTCTTCTCTGCAATGGAACTCTTAAGCCATTTTCAGTAAAATCTTGCATTCCTGGCCGGAAAAATATTGCAGTGTCACCCCATTATTATTCTCACCGGACCCCCCTATATAGACTTGTTTATTAGCCCGGAAACCTCGCGCAATGGAAAGTAGTCTTCGGCTGGGGCCCTCTGGCCTGGCGAATATTGCAATTCCCACCCCCATTTATAAATGTGCGGTTAACATTAAACCCTAAACCCTGAACCCTAGTTAAACCGCAAGGGGGTCGAGGCCCTAGCACATCTTACAGGGGCTGAAAAATCAGTAGCCAGCCCTTTTGCCGGATTGATCAAGAAAATTCTTTCCCTAAACCCTAAACCCTAAACCCTAAACCCCAAACCCTGAACCTGGTTGTTCGAGAGATAAAATCTTGGTTTCGGCTTTGCTTGGATTATCCGGATAATATCGTCGGGGTCTTGGAAAGGAGGCTTGCCATGCCCCCTAAACCCAAAACCCTAAACCCTAAACCCTAAACCCCAAACCCTAAACCCTAAACCCTACACCCCAAACCCAGGAATTTTCTGTGGACAAAAGAAGGGGTGTCCTAGGTAAGGTTGATCGGGATGTGAGGAGGAGCCCTCGAAGGGAACCCAGGGGTTCCGAGTTTAGGGCTTGGAGGGGTTTGGGGTTTAGGGTTTAGGGTTCAGGGTTTAGGGTTTATGGTTTAGGGTCGTTTAGGGTTTAGGGTTTTGGGGTTCCCTGAACCCTGACCTCAAGAAAGGGGATGTACTTCAATGATTTCGGGGAAATATCCTATGTCAGGGCACAAGGTTGCTAAACCCTATACCCTGCAACCGCCTAAACTCTGAGACCCGAAACTCTTCATCCCTCAACTTCCAAACCCTAAACCCTAAACCCTAAACCCTAAACCCTAAACCCTAAACCCTAACCCCCTAAACCCTAAAAAGGCCCAAACGTCTAAACACTGCTTTGCAAGCCAAGGACTGCTTCTACGTCGCTGTGGAGCGCCCTTGCAGCATGGGCGTCTCCCACAGGGTTTAGGGTTTAGGGTTTAGGGTTAGGGCTTAGGGTTTAGGGTTTAGGGCTTAGGGCTTAGGGCTTGGGGTTTAGGGTTTAGGGCTTCGGGCGAAGGGCGAAGGGTTGGAGGTCCAGGGTTTAGAGGCATGGTATTCAGGCGTCTTCTTGGGGGCTTTCTTTGTGTGAGGGTGGTAGATGTACACAAATGCCAAAGTTTAGGTTTTAGGGTTTTGGTTTAGGGTTTAGGGGGTCGGAACAATTCGCAATAGTATACCCTTATGGTCCCTTTACAATTCTATTGTCATACCCCCCCTCAAAAAGACACTCATTGTAACTACAAAGGCCCCCCGCAGTACGGCTTGCTACGTCCTCTTAGGAAGTCGAGGAGCCTAAGTCCCAAACTCTAAACACCCTAAACCCTACAAAGACCCTAAACCCTATAAAGACCCTAAACCCTGTAAAGACCCTAAACCCTACAAACCCTAAACCCTTTAAAGACCCTAAACCCTAGAAACCCTAAAAACCCCTGAAAGCCTCACAGGCGCGCGCGCGACGCGCGGCTGACAGGGAAGCCTTGCGCTGTGCCTTGACATGCAGGAGGAGTTTTTTCTTGGAGGCGCTGGGCACTTAAAGCCCCAATTAAGAGGGTTTAGGGTCCAGTTGTTGGGGTTTAGGGCCGTTATCGCCCAGATTCTAAGCGCCTTAAATACCCGAATATGGTGTTTATACTTGGGTGTCAAGGACAGATATGATTATTGGTTAATTCCTTAGGTTCCCTTATAAGCCCGTTTAAATCAAAAGTGCACCCTTTCTATCCTAGGTAACTCCTGGATCTAGACACTACTGGTTTTAGAAGTATCATGAACCTTTCCTTTCAGGTCGTCCCGGGTTTGGGGGAATGAGTGTTCCGGGTGGTTGGAATCCGGGTTTAGGATTTAGGGTTCAGCGTCTAGGGTTCGGGGCTCGCATGTCTTTTGGATCTCGGGTTTCGGCTGTAGGCTTCCATAAATCTTCCCTCAAGAAGGTAAGCCCTAGGGTCTACCGGCAGAGACTAGTGAGGGTTCGTCAAAAGTGGTTTCCGATGTTTGGTTTCTGAGGACCCTAGACCCTAAGCCCTAACCCCTAAACCGTTCAAACACGCTTGAGCATACAGGGTTTGAAGCTTGCCCATGAGCCTCTGTAGCGCACACTTGACCCTTAAATGGGGTTCAACCCTAAACCCTAAACCCTAAACCCTAAACCCCAAACCCTAAAGGCCGAAGTATAGACTACATAGGTGCACGGACCCTTGGGGCTTGTGTAGCCGGATGCCCCGTAGTGAGCCCTTTGTTCTCCGCCCTTTCATCTAAGCAACGCAGCACCTGAGTTATAGTGCGAGACACTGAACTTCGGGCCTACTTACCAAGTTACTTCTGATTGTAGGGGGGGGTTCTTCTCCCTCTAGAACACTTACACCCCTAAGTCCCGAACACCCTAGAATGCTAAACCCTCAACTCTACACTTAGAATCTAAACCTCAATCCCTAAACCCGAAACCCTAAACCCGAAACCCGAACCTTATAGTTGCCATTGAGGTGGTGCAGTATCCCACTGGCGAACGCGGGCGTCCAGACTTGCCGCCAGAGGCAGACCGTTGGCGAACTGGAGGCAACGCTTAGGGCTCCGGGTTCAGGGTTTAGGGTTTAGGGTTTAGGATTTTAAAACCGTAAAAGGTAAACCCTGAACCCTCAACCCCACCACCCCCCCCCCCCCCCCCCCCCCCCCCCCCCCCCAATAGCTTCCCGAATTCCCTTAAACCCCATAAACCTAAATACCCCTCAGTCCTTAAAGCCCTAAACCCTAAACCCTAAGCCGTCAAAAGGGGGCTTGCGGCTACTTCAAGAACCAAAAAGCCTCCTCCTTTGCAGGTTCCTACTGCCAAAAACCCGTTAAGTACAACAAAAGGTAGGCTTTGGGTCTGTTAAGGTTTTGGGGTTTTGGGTGTTGAAGGCCTAGCCCTAAACCCTAAACCCTAAACCCTATAACCCTAAACCCTTAACCCTAAACCCTAAACTTCTAGGGTTTGCTTCAGAGTGATGGGCTTCAAGTTTCTTTAGGGTTTTGGAGGGCTTGGGTGACTTCGGTTCGAGAGCAGGCGCCATGGGAGGCATCATTGCGGTGTCCTACGAAGCTCGTGCGAAGGGCGTCACCAGAACGACTCTAGGACTGACCTTCGTTGGGATTGGGGTTTAGGGTTTGCGGTTTTGGCTTTAGAGGGTTTAGAGGGCTTATGGGGTTGACAAGGTTTCCGGGCTTTATAGGGTTTAGGGCCACCTTCTTGGGTTCGATCGTTTTCTTGTGTGGATTGTTTCGGTTCTGCGGCTTTGGGTTTTCCGCCTTTTTTGTTTCAAAGGTTTGCTTCCAGCTTTCCTTGCGGTGTTTTTGCCCTGGACGAAGCCGGATGACAACCCCTAGACCTGAGCCCTAGATGGTCCTAGATCTACGTGGACTACTATGATTTCTGGCAGGGTGCACCCAGGATAGCTTGAGGTGCCCTGAATAGGCTGTGGGTTTGAGGAAGGGCTAAGGGTTCGTGGTTCTCTTAGGGTAGTTAGATGATCCCTCAGTGTGGGCCCTTAAAAATACCTTAAAAGGGTTTAGGGTTTAGGGTTTAGTGTTTAGGGGTAAGGGATCATGCTGAGGTCCATAGAACTACCCTTACTAGCGGTTTATGGCAGGCACCCAGGGAACCCTTAGGGAAGCTTGGGGAGCCTTCGGGAGTAGTGGGGAGTAATTATTAGGGAACCTTGGGTACACACCCCTCTTGGAGCCCCTCATGAAGGCCTTTTTAGAAGCCTCAAACCCTTCAAAGCCACAAGCCCTGAAGCCCTCAAAGCCCTTCACCCCCCGCATCCTTCAACCCGGATATAGAACGCCCCTTGCAGTTTATAGGGTTTAACCCTAAACCCTAAACCCTAAACCCGAAACCCTAAACCCTAAACCCTTTAGGGTTGAACCCTGAATACCTTCTGCACCGATTCGACAGAACCTATTCAACATGACTTATGCCGACCGTGTCGTCGCAGACTCCTGTTTCTTCGCGTCGCGCTTGACAATGAGGGGCGATACAGTTGCCCCCCTAGAACAGCAAGCTGCCCGTGTGAAGATGCTCCAAGGATGTCGGGTGCCGAAGCCCGCAAGGCTTCCTGACTTTTTCGGGGGCGTTTAGGGTTTTGGGTTTTGGGTTTAGGGTTTGGGGTTTAGGGTTTAGGGTTTAGGGGGAGGGGGGGGGGGGGTATTTGCGCGGGATGTGTTTGGTATTGGGGGGGGGTGGGGGGGGGGGGGTGGGGGGGGGGGTGGTGGGGGGCCGGGTTATAGGCTTTGCGTTCAGGGGCTTTGACCCAGAACCCTAAACACCAAGCCCTTGAACCTAAAATCTAGACTTTAAACTCTAAACCCTAAACCCTGGGGGGGGGAGAGGGAACGGGGTGTGGAGTGCGTTGTGTGCTGTGGGCGCCCTATACCGTGTAAAACCCTACACCCTAGACTCCAAACTTTAGGGTTCAGTTCAATACTTGGCGGGTCAATGGTGGCTACAACTCGGGTGTAGCTCTACTATTGCAACGTGTAGTTTCCTGACCCTCTGGGGTGGATTTGTGACCTTAGCTACTTCTGATCATAAGCGAACCTTCAAGTAATGTTTGGGGCTCAGGGCTAGAGATTTGGTAGCTACTTCCAAGGAAGGCTCGTTTAGGAGCCCCCATGATAATTCGGACCGCGTTTATGCAGGGTTTATGGTCTAGCGTTAGGGTTGAGGGTTTAGGGTTTAAGGTCTAGCGCTAGGGTTTAGGGTTTAGGGTTTAGGGTTGAGGGTTTAGGGTTTAGGGTTTAGGGTTTAGGGTTTAGGGTTTAGGGTTCAGGGTGTGTCAGGGGAGGGCGCGCGCTCGGGTGTGAAACACCCCGGGCCGCGCGCTCGCGTTGCCCGTCAACCCACCCCGGCCACCCACACTATACTCTATTAGGGTTTAGGGTTTATGGAATTTACTTTCTTGTGCCCCGATGCTTGCTTTGACGTTTTTAAGTTTCGCTGTTAGGGTTTAAGCTGGGGTTGGGGGTAGCCTCGGCCCTTTTCGGGCCTTCGGCGTGTCAGGGCCCGTAGAGGCCCTTATTTATTTGAAGGTCAGGGAAACCCTTTGTGTCTGCTCCTGGATTCCCTTTCTTTAAGGGCCTCAATTAAGCATCGATTTCACTACCAAAAAATCGCATTTTTCATTGCGGGTACGGGCATCCTGGGGTCCCCCTTCTTTTAGGGGGCCTTTTGAAGCCTTTTGAAGTATTTTGGTGGCTCTTGGGGTCTCTCGGGGCCTTGTTCGGACCTTCGGCGTGTCAGGGGCCGTAGAGGCTTTATTCATTTAAAGGTCAGGGAACCTATTAATGAGTTTTTCGCCAATGAGTCTTTCAATCGCTAGGGTTTAAGCTCGGGTTCGGGGTAGCCTCGGCCCTTTTCGGGCCTTCGGCAAGTTAGGGCCCGTAGAGGCCCTTATTTGCTTGAAGGCCTTCGTAGGGTTTTGCGGTGTTAGGGTTTAAGCTGGGGTTCGGGGTAGCCTCGGCCCTTTTCGGGCCTTCGGCACGTTAGGGCCCGTAGAGGCCCTTATTTGCTTGAAGGCCGTCGTAGGGTTTTGCGGTGTCAGGGTTTAGGCTGGGGTTCGGGGTAGTTTCGGTCCTTTTCGGGCCTTCGGCACGTGGGCCCGTAGAGGTCCTTGCTGATTTAGGGGGAGCCATCGATTTCAATACTAAAAGGCGGGCAGGGGCTAAAAGCAATGTTTTCAATATTCTCATTGTGGGCACGGACAAATCTTGTGGTCCCCCTTCTTTTAGTGGGCCTTTTGAAGCTTTTGAAGCTTTTGGTGGCTCTTGGCGCCTCTTGGGGGCTTCCTAGGCCCTTAGCCGAGCCCTGGTTGGGGGGGCCCTTGGCAGGGTGTTAGGCCAAGGGGGCGTATTGTTGGGGGTTCTTGACGGTCTTGGCCGGTCCTTGAGTCCTTGGCTCCCTTGGCTTGGGGGGCCCTTGGCCCGGGTTGGAAATGTGAAAAAGCCCCCAAAATCACGAAATTGAGCAACCAGCCTGCCTGGACCCCTCGCCAGCCTCCTGGTCCAGGAATCCAGCTACCAGGGACCAGGGGGCCCCCGGCGGGGGGGGCCCGACAAACCCTGAACCCAAAACCCTGAACCGACCTCCAGAGGCAAAGGGTTACGATTTGGGGTTATACTTTAGCTACGCTAAAGGTGGTCTGGGTGCCGGCCATCCCTTAGCCGAGTACTGACGTTGTCGTAAAAAAGGCCGATGTCCGTTGGCCTGTCCAGGACAGACGGTGAGGCTTAACCCTCACCTTTCCGTTTCTCTTTTCGCTTGGGCGCTCGGGCTGTAAGGCCCTCGGCCGAGCGTTCGGGGTCTGTCGCTCGACGGAAGCGACCCCTCACTTAGTTTAGGGTTTAGGGTTTAGGGTTTAGGGTTTAGGGTTTAGGGTTTAGGGTTTAGGGTTTAGGGTTTAGGGTTTAGGGTTTAGGGTTTAGGGTTTAGGGTTTAGCAACTCAAGCTGCAGATCTGCCGGAGGCCTGCCCGGAGATTATCTTGGTGCAGGTGCCGACGGCCTTCGGGAAAGCCGACCTCCGCATCTACAAGGCTTCCGAGGGTTGAGGGTTTTGGGGGTGTGGGGTTTAGGGTTTAGGGTTTAGGGTTTAGGGTTTAGGGTTTAGGGTGTGGGGTTTTGGGGTTTGGGGTTTAGGGTTTCGGGGTATAGAGTTTAGGGCGGCGGGCCGGTAGTTTGGCTTGTGCAGGGTCTAGTGAGTCTAGTGGGTGTACCCTGATTCCGAATTCCAAAGACGTAGCCCAAGGCCTATGCCGTCGGACGAAACACCTATGGATTATCCGCGCGTTTTGCGTATAAGCACGACAATACATGTTTATTTCACAGGGGCAGGGGGGTTTCTATAGAAGAACGGATGAGACATTGGCTAGGACCCGGAGTAGGCCCTCATTCCTTTTTTTGGGTTTTAGCTTCCCTTATCAGCCCCTTCAAGCAACAAGGGCACCCTTACGAATCATCGGTTACTCTTGGGTCTAGGCGTCAACCCCAAACCCCAAACCCGAAACCCTATACCCTAAACCCTAAACCCTAAGCCCTAAGCCCTAAACCCTAAACCCTACAAGAAGACTGGTGGACGCAGTGTGGTGGAGCTAGGGGATGCGCGTAAAGAGTGGCAGTGGACATCCCTAAAGGGGGTCCGAGTATGACTCGCTTGAAACATGTGTACAAAAGGACAGCTGCCAAAAATCTCGTGTCGGCAGGCCTTTGGCTCAGACAGTGAAGCGCCGTTGGCGCTTTGCGCCCCCTAATCCTTAAACCCTAAACCCTGAACCCTAAACCCTAGACAACTCGCGCATCTCCAGGGGGCTTGAGGGTTTCGGGTCAACCTGGGTTTGTTTTTGTTTGCAGTCTGGCGCTGCCGCTCGGGGCTGTTTGCCATGGTGCGTGCGACTGGACTTGCTGAAGTGGTCGCCCTGCTTCCAGTTTAGGGTTTGGGTGTTGAACGATTGCGGGTTCATGTTGCAGATTCTATTTATTGCTGTTGCAGCCCTCGGCACCTTCAATGGTGCCCGCTGTTATCCTCTCCTCTTTGGAGAATCCCAAGCTTTAAATCCGAAACCCCAAAGTTGCTTTTTGTTCTTTAGGGTTTAGGGTTTAGGGTTTAGGTTTTTTTTTGCTGCCAAGGTGGGCTACAACAAGCGAATCGCCGCATGCAAGATCGACTCCCGGATACATCGGCAGCCGTTGTGCCAAGTTGCCAAGGGTTTAAGGCTACGTACCCTAGACCCTAGACCCTAAACCCTAAACCCTAAACCCTATAGACCCTATGTATATAGGCAGAGGGTTTAGGGCTCCGGGGCGACACCCTAGCCTCGCCCTCTTACCCAAGGCTGCCAGATAGGCTCAAGGGTGTAAGGCTACGTACCCTAACCCTAAACCCTAAACCCTAAACCCTAAACCCTAA